AACTGGTCATGGCCATTTATTAGTTATAACCCGTAATAAATGGGATTATACATTTATACATTCCATAAATGGGGTTACAAGTACTTGTAACTGGTAAAGGACCCTAACTGTAGGTGAATTAGCTATGGTTTGTGATTGACATATATATATATATAGATATTATATGTTATTATACTTAATGGATGTTCACGGGGTCTATTAATACAACTACATGGTTTTTGGAGCCCCAGTGATGTGAACTTTATAAAGCCCCTAAAAATAGAGAGCGGCAGGCTGTGGGAGTAAAACATCTCAAAATATCATCTTAAATCATTGGAAAACTGCACTCCCAGGGGCTGCAGTTCTGTAAAAATACTAGTGTATGACGATATTCCCCCTAATCAACCACAGTTTACCAAGTTATAAGTCAACAAAACGTGCTGATATGACCTATGAATCATGGTTGGTCAGGGTGGGCCCCTTCACGTACTTATATATGTTATATAGTTGTTAGTATATTACAATTACATACCCTAATATTACACAAACTAAATCTAACTAAATTAGCTAAGTGGGGGGCATTACCTTGTAAGTGTTTAAGCCGTAAGGTTTGGTGTTTTCCCTCATTTTCATGGCGACTTGGAGGGTCATGGTTTTCCCCTCACTGATCATTATCTTTCCCCATAGATCCTAGTTATATTTATTATAAACAATCTTCTAGTTGGTGTACAAACTTATCCAACTATAAATATATCATCATGTACCGATAAACCCAACGGTTAAGTCACTTACAAACCCAGCAGTCGGGGGCACCACCCTATGTCGTGTTGCGTGGCACCTCGTAACGCCGAAGGAATCTCCAGTCATTCCCTGAACGGTCATGAGGCACTGGGTGTTGAAGGACTTGGAAGTCAGTCAGTGGATGTGTCAACGTATCCCAACCATTCCCAACCTTCAGTATTGCATTATCATTGATTTCAGTTATACGTTCCATAAACCATAGTGAAATTGGAGTTCTGTAGCCCCCAAGCAACTTAGCGATTTCAAGGCCATGGGCCAATGGGGGGCTCCACTTTGTATAGCCATGGCCCATGGCCATGTATCGTGGCCCGTCAGGACCTGGGGTCGCTCTGACGTCTAGACGTCAACGCGAACGCGGAAAGCGTGGCGAGTTGTTTGACGCTGACGAGAGCCTGGAGGCTGTACAGATTGGAGCCGTGGGGAGATGGCCTGAGATGGCCTGAGATGGCCTGGGGCGGTCGGTTCAAAACCCCGCTTCGCCGGTTGGTTGAGGATTAGTTGGGGGATTATTTCATAACCTTTCTATATTCTAGGTCAATCTTACATGGATATTTTTTTTTTTTGCAGGGTATCTAAGATTGGCAATGTGCCATGGGGATTACAATCCAAGAATGGGGAATCTCTAGAAACCAAGCATGGAATGCAGTTTCGGCGCAGCTAGTTAGCTATGTAGGTCGATTTAGCTATCTTCCAAAGCCATGACTTTCACTACGTAGGCGACTTGGAGGGTTGTGTTGCCTAAACTGAGGTAGTTTGGCAGCTTGATGGGAGGACGGCTAGGATAATGCTTGCCTTGATCAAGCAATAGACGCCATACCTTATTTTTCTCAGTGAGTCCCTCTTCCCTAAAGCGACGCTCCCCGTGAATTAATTTATGTCACAGGTCAGGATTAGATCTCGTCGGTTGGAAGTGCTAGGACGTAGCCACCAGCCATCCGCGTTGGTGCTGTGGCCTCTAGTGCACAGAGCTTCCAGCCATTCCTTCACTTTTCCAGTTAATGCGTGCTGCGGCTTCCCTTGTACAGCTGTGATCTTGCACGACGCAAGGAGATCGAGCCGTTGTTAAAGCTGCGCTTTGCAAGTGGGATCGTCTCAAAATTTGGTTTTCGGTTTTTGTCTTGAACATTTGAATACAGACTAGCCGACTAGCCTTCAACACCCTTCAACCCGCATTGCGCATGGAATTGAACCAACAGAACTGGCTTTGGTCAACGGTAGATGTTGGGGATGACCATCCCATGCGTTGTTCAACGTAGAGTCGTAGAGTTAAAACCCTTTACGTCATACCAGTTATAAGTACTAAGAAAAACCCATTTATAGATTTTTTTTATCCCATAGAGCCAGTTATAACTAATTAATAAATGGCTATAAGTGTAGATGATTGATGGGTGTGGCTGATCGTTTTTTGATTGAACACCTCGTAATCCTATTCCCTAATATCAAATATACCTCGCTATGTGACCCCAAGAATGAATAGATCTATTGCTACACAGGTTTCTGAGGCCGTTTCGAACTTATTTTTAATAATGTCAACCCTGGATTAATAAACCATGGTTAAGTTAGGTTTATCAATTATGTGGGTACTCTTCAAATAGTGATAATCTGATACTTAGATGGTAATCTGATACTTAAATGCTACATCCCCAATTAAACAACCTAGAGGGTGGTTAATCCAGGTTTGACATTATTAAACTTGACCCATCCAGGTGAAAGGAAGCAGCTGAGATGAATGTATAGGGCAATCATCCCCAACAGGGGCTTTGTAAGTTAGTGACTAAAATCATCCCTAATTTGTAATATAACATGTATCCCTAATGTGTAATATAACATGTATTTTTTCAGGTTAGTCCGTTAGTGACTAGACTGACTAGAGAATTCAGCCAGTTAAATCATGTTAAATCAAATGCCGCACAAAAAACTTATCCAATATTTTTCAGCTCATCAGCAGAAAGCGAGGACACCAACTTGATATCGACCCAATAGCTGGATGGTTTAGTTCATGGATTTTATCCATCTATAAATGGATGATGACTGGGGGTACCCCTATTTAGATCTATTTTGGGAAACCCCCATATGGAAGTAGTGAGAAACAATGTGAAAAACACATTGATACCGCACTGACACCGGACTGATGTTTGGCATGCCGTGCGTTTTCATTCGGAGACACATCGTGCTATTGTTTTGAGACACATCCCTTAGTGGTTAGATGCAATTCATGCAATTCGAACTTTTGGCTGATCAATCAAGCTGATCGTAAAGCTCTCGGCTGAATCAGCGATGCATAGGAAAAGTTCTGTGAGGAGATGGGAGGCTTTCAATGTGGGATTCACCCGGGCGTCCGTGCGTAACCATCCCGTTACCAGGGCATACAGAAAAATGGCCATTGCTATTACCATCTGGTTATGACTAACATAGCCATGGTATAGATGGCCCATTTATAGATGGTTTTCCTGGGTTTACCTATTAAAAATGGTGATTTTCCATGGCTATGTGAAATAACCAGATGGTAGTTATAACTGCTTATTTCTATGGGATTATATAGACATTCTATAAATGGGGCCTTTTTTGTACTTATAGCTGGTATGACGTGACTCGGGCCCAGTCACTGTAGGGCTATAGCTAATGAACATGAGATAAACGAAGCCCCTAGTGGGATGGTTTGCCTTGATATGTCAGTCGAACTGTGACAATCCTAGATGGGTCAACAGTGGTGACAATCCGGGATGAAGATTCAGAGTCAACTACAGTTATGGCCCAAAATATACCAGTTTTTTGAGTCAGGTTTTATAACTGGCATTTCGGACCTGAACTGTAATGATTATCAGGTGGTTTACTTGACGTTTCCCACAAGGTAGCCTCCCCAATAAGTTGGAACATGGCCTGCTCATGAACTAGTTCGATACATCTACCATAAATCGATAGTTGACCTGCATAAAAACCAACTTAGCTAGTTATACTGTATATATATAGATATATATACCCATGTTGTACTCACCTATTTCTTCCCTGAAGGGAAATGGAAGTTGAAACTGTGGCATGGCCTATGGGGGATTTCTGGGACGTGCGGGACCTAGGTCCTAAGTCTGTAAGAACCCTATTACATCCCGGTTATATTCATGCAGTTATGGCCATTTATTAGTTATAACTGGTTATAAATGGGATTATACATTCTATATAAAGGGGGTTTTCTAAGTACTTATAACTGGTATTTCGGGCCTTAACTGTGGGATATGTGTATATGAGTTATTAGCATTTTATTAGCCACTTACGATACGTGGAATTTCTGATCAAAATTATCATTGGTTCCCGTAAATCCTTCCTGAGGCGGCATGAGGTACCCTTAAGGGAAGACTTCCACCCTGTATTATGCAACGTTCACGCCATGATACAATAAACAACATTTAATTTCCATGCCATGAGAACATCCATGTTTTTTAACCGGATCAGCTGAGTATGTATATTGATCGATGTATATTAAGGGCAAGCTGCAAAGGAAATACTGCTGCTTAAATGGTGGAACGGTTCACCATTTGGACCGCATATCTCTGGGGAAAAATGCAATGACTATATCTATGCAGCTATGGCCAGAAATACCACTTATAAGTAAGTTATAAGCCCATTTATGGAATAATAAACCCATGTATAACCTTTTATAACTGGTATTTTGGGCCTTAACTGCATTAATATTCTACTATATATCCCAGTATGATTTATTAAAATCCTACTATTATCCCGTGAATATCTTCTTAAAACCCATATTATCTACAATATCTGGTTGGTGGTTTGGAACGTTTTTTTTTTCCGTATATTGGGAATTTCATCCCAACTGACGAACTCATATTTTTCAGAGGGGTAGGTATACCACCAACCAGTATAAATAGTGTACCAAAGCAGAGCCCCACCCCCATCCACAGGATACTCAATTATTTTGGAGAAAATCCACAATAGAGGTCCATCCCACCAATCAGTAGCCAAACATTAATATGTTGATATTTATCTGGTGGCTCATCCCACTTAGTAAGTGGGTTATAACCCTATTCATCCCATTTATAACTGGGGTTATAAGTTATAACCCCAGTTATAAATGGGATGAATAGGGTTAATCCACTTATAACTGGGGTGAACTAACCCACTTACGATTCGTGGGATGAGCCACCAAGTATCTGGTTGACCAGCTCGATTCAGTCAGATAATGTCAGATACATATGCTGCTGTGCCAGGCTGCGAGTCCCATGGGAAGGTCCTTGAGAGAGAGGTGTGGTGCTTGTTTTACCCGGTCCTTGTTGCAGTGGGGATGATAAACACTACTTGGGTAAGGAAAAAACAATAAACTGGTGATTTGCTGGAATTTAATTAGATTTAATGGGATGTCTTGGGATATAATGGAAGAATTATATGTGTAATTGTATATATATATAACCTACTTGCGAGTGCAGTTGAGATGACTATGACATGGGTATAACCAAGGGATTCTGACCATAACTTCACAAGTGGGGATCGGTGGCTCTTATACCCATACAAAGTGGGCCCCCAAACGATAGCTAAGTTGGGGTTCACATAACTCCAATAACTATGATTTAGGGGACTAATAGTATCTTATAAGTACAGTTACTGGGGTTTATCAACCAACTTATAACGGGGGGGCCACATTGTAACTATGGTTACATATCCACCTATAACTTATAACTGCACTCCCACGTGTCTGGACTGTGGGATTTCCAGACTTGACGCGCAATCTGTGGGATAGCATTAAGGATTTCAACAGCAACATGCGGGTTATCTACTGGTTGGTGGTTTCGAACATTTTTTTATGTTTCCATAATATATGGGATAATCCTTCCCATTGACGAACTCATATTTTTCAAGATGGTTAAAACCAGCAACCAGTCTAGAATCTAGACATAAAAAAAAACACAAAATTCAGAGGTGGTGAAGCTTGGGACTAGCAAACAGAGCTGACCAATTTCCTTTTTGGGACTGTAATTGATTCGATTTCTCAGAGGGGTGGAAAAAAGGGGTTTCAACAATAGCGAACTGTTAGTTTACCAGAGGGTAAACCTCCATTTTCCTATGGTTTTCCTATGGTTTTCCTATGGTCATTACCAGAGATCTACATTGGATGACTTTCCAAGTAGAATTCCTGGTGACTCGTGGATTGATCAGTAACTCCACACGGCTATTGGCTCGTCAAAAGCCTGGCACCCTGCCACGATACCCAAAAATAACTGATGAATCGATGTTTGTATGTTCATAGGTTTTCATGTTTATATGTTTATATGTTAACTGGTGTATATGTTTATAAAATAACTGGTTTAAACCCCCAAGTATGGTAATTTCATAGGTTTTGACTGATCCCCACGACTGAAACCATCCACAAATCAACTTTGTTAGATCCAAATGGTATGATAATCATCAACTAGCAGCGCTGTCCCCACGATATGACATACCCTCTGGTGTCATCAAACGTGGCAAGAGAAAATCCACCATTTAAAGGTGATGTTCCCATTCAACAACCATTTAAAAAGCGGATTTCCTAGCTTGCCATTTGTTGAAAACCCGAGGGTAACTCAAGCCTTAAGCTGTTCTGAATCTCTTCGTGGTTTGCGATCATAAATTATTTAGCCCCGGTTGGTTGTTCAACCACCCACTGATTTCAGGATACCAGGCCATAGGTATGAATTTGCCAGGGAGAATACAGATTTAATGTGATTTAATGAAGAAACAAGCAACATATGTATATATATATATATATATCCAACTTTAGAATTTAGATTGGCTGAAACTGCCGCAGCGTGAACCGCACCTATTGGCAGAGAGGAAAAAAAACATATATCCAACTATCAAGAGTTGGATTAGAGTAACCCAAATGGTTTACAGTTAAGGCCCGAAATACCAGTTATAAGTACTTATAACCACATTTATAGAATGTATAATCCCATAGAAATAACCAGTTATAACTAATAAATGGCTATAACTGTAGGGGATGGTTATCAATTTGTCATAAGGTTTTACAAATTCTACACCCATGTGTGGATTCCCATGGATCTTTGACCATATATATAGGAAGCCATGCAACTTGACCATGGCACATATGGCACGCGTAGCCATTCCATGACAGACATGGAGCGTTGCCAGCATTGCTGTATCAATCTTGGATGGACACAGTTAAGGCCCGAAATACCAGTTATAAGTACTTATAACCCCATTTATAGAATGTATAATCCCATTTATAACCAGTTATAACTAATAAATGGCCACAACTGCAGGTTCATACAACTGAATCTTTTTCAGTGAGTGGGTACATAGATGTTCTTGTCCCGTTGTTTGGTTGATGAAAAAAGGGGGGTTTGAAGGTTTACCCCTTTAACTTTAACAACAGGTTTGTTTGATGATAGATGGGATTAACCAAACCGGCCCCTCTAACGAAACGGACATTATTGGTACATAACCTATACAACCAGCACAAAACAATGCAGGGTATCCAGGATTGGCCATGGTACAGCAACGCTGAACATAGATAAAACACGTGGAAACCTATAGGGGGCACAAAATCATCATAAACCATCCTGAACATCCAGTTTTGGTGGATTCTGCATCAGGGATTCTATATTGGTATGGCCGTATGGCCCAAAATACATCAAAATACCAGTTACAGTTAAGGCCCGAGTTATACCAGTTACAAGTGCTAAGAAAACCACACTTATAGAATTTATGTTTTTTTTTAGATCCCATAGAAATAACCAGTTACAACTAATAAATGGCCATAACTGTATAAGTTAGTCAAATAACCCCGCTTATGGAATGACCCGAATTCTGGCCATATGAACAACATCAAATTACAATTTATAACCATTTCTGACAACCATTTATAAATTAAAAAACTGGTATTTCGGGCCTTAACTGTAATTTTCTAACTTCGTCCATAGGTCGTCACCAAAAAACGCAAAGATTTCGTTTGGCAGCCTTGCCTGCCAAACTGACAGATGCACATATTTGCGGGTATAGTTTAATGCGTGTTCCTGCAGTTCCTGAAAAAAACACATTATAAATTATATAACTTATATATATATATATTATAATACATATTATGATATATATATATATATATCTTATTATTATAACACATATTATGAGAGATATATATATATATATTATAATACATATTATAATATACATATATATATATATATACACTATATATATATAATATATATATATACATAGAACAAGATCTGCAGAATATTTCTGGCTGAGGACTTCCAAGCTGGAGGCCTTGTGGGACCGTCCAGCCTATCGCATGCGGCGCTTCAACTTGACCGCGGAGCCAGGCGTTGGCGGATCTGCGTTACGGATCAACGGGTTAGCCTCTGGAAAAGCAAGGAAAAACTTTGGAAATCGAATGGAAAACCAATGGAAAACCAGCACAAAACGATGCAGGGTATCCAGGATTGGCCATGGTACAGCAACGCTAAACATAGATAAAACGCGTGGAAACCATGGAAAACTTTGCAGTTATGGCCATGGCTATTCGTGAACGAACTGGTTATCTCTATGGGATAAAAAAAAAAACATTCTATTTTGATGGGGTTTTCTTAGTACTTATATAACTGGTATAACTCGGGCCTTAACTGTGGAAAACCATGGAAAACCATGGAAAACCTTGGAAATCCATTTGTAAAATCATCTGTTTATGGACTTTCAAAAAGGGATATAAGTGGGATTTAATGGAAGTATAACTTTGGTAAACGTTTACAGTTTGCGAACTTGAAGCCACGGCCATAGAAATACTGTAGTTGATTTACCCATGAAAAAATGGTGCTTTTCCCTAGTTATGTGGCAGTTTACCAGGCCGGGTATTCCATGTACAGAAAAGTCATATGACTTCCTCTACCAAGCCATTGCAATCCATGGGATGAGTCTCCAAGTACAATGTGGTTTTCCCCCAGTTATAAGTTGGTCAACCTGATAAAACCCCAGTAGCTAGCGCAGCTAGTTCGCGTTCTTTAAGTACCATAAACCATAGTGAAATTGGAGTACCAGAAGTTGGTGTAAAAACGCCAGCTGTTATAGTTATCTGGTTGGTGGTTTGGAACATTTTTTATTTGTCCATTCAGTTGGGAATTTCATCATCCCAACTGACGAAGTCATATTTTTCAGAGGGGTAGGTATACCACCAACTAGTCACGGATTTCAACAGCAACATGTGGGATACCCTCTGGTAAACAGCCACGTAACTATGGAAAATCACCATTGTTAATGGTTCACTATAGCTATATAAGTACCATAAACATCCATAAACCACTTCGTGAGATCTTGGAGTCATGTGAACCCCAACTTTTAACCAGTCGCGATTTTTCGTGGCCGTTTCGGGGGGCCCAAAACGTATTGGGTGGTTACCATTTGGGGATGTGGAATTTTGCCCATGGAGTAGATGATTTTCCTAGGAAACCTGGGAAAACCTGGGTTTTTCATGGAAGTTGAATGGATTTCATGGATATGACTAGCAGTAAAGATGGCTAAAGATTGCTTAAAACATGGATTTGAACAACATCTTATGGGAATATAGATCCCATTTGGATGATACCCTCTGGTAAATGAAGAGTTTGACCCTGAAAATGACCATTGTATTTTTGGCTAATCTTCCAAGCCCGATGAATGGCAGGCTCATACTGTTCAACTGTTCATTTACTGGAGGGTTATAGTGGTTAACTTGAAAGTGCACTTGAGGTTTTTGCATCCTGAAGATCAAATTCGAGTAGGTGATTGTGTACACTTAAGGCCCAAACTACCAGTTATAAGTACTAAGAAAACCCCATATAGAATGTATAATCCCATTTATAACCAGTTATAACTAATAAATGGCCATAACTGTAATATGATTCATCATTGATTCATCAAAATATGGGCATGGGTCAAAACCTGTGAAATTACCACATTTGGAGGAATAACCATCCATAAACCAGCTCTTTTAGGGTACCATGAACCAGAACTGGAACATGATTTTCAGTCAATCAGTCGTCATCAGCACTGCCAAAGCTGTGCGTCGCAGCTTCGTCGACCCAATCCGAGTTGGGATGTCAATCTCCAAGAGTTCGGATATAGTTCTCTACAGTTAAGGCTGTTTACCAGTTATGAATCATTGTAAATGGTTCTTAAATGGGGCTATGATTTCATAAATGGGGTGACTTACTGACTTTCGGGCCATAACTGTAGAACTATGACTGTAGAACTAAACCCCTGATCAGTGGAACCACAGCCCCAAGTAAGGAGCTTTCTGAGTATCCTATTTTTCCGTAGCAGGCATATTGAGTTTCCAGCCATGGCTGGTAGTAAAACAGTTACCCTCTGGTAAACTAACAGTTTGCTATGGACAATCACCATTTTTAATGGGAAAATCCACTATTTCTATGGGCCATGGCTTCAATAGCTATGTAACAAATTACCAGAGGGTAGTTTTCCAGAGTTGGTTTGTTTGTTGTTTTTCCTGGCAGGAACCTTTGATACTTGATGGTAACAAAAACCAGGGTTTCGGGTATGCTTACCCTTTAACTTACACTTCATAGGAGATTCAAATTGTTCCCTTCATCTCAGGATCAGGTATCGGAATAAATGTCGCTGACCAGTGGCTCACCAGTGGTTGCCCTTGCAGGTGAACATCCGTGCTGGGCGGGCTTCAAGTCCATGATGAGAGATACAGATCGATGCAAGGGACGCTTGTTGCGCATTGGTAAAAATGTTTGTGGTACATAGCAACAAAGGGAAATCCAAAGCTAATTTCGAAGATCTATAGAGCCGTTTCCGCATTTTTTTCCTTTAACCATCCTGTTATGAGAAAGCCATCCCTGATGTTGATGAGGTGAGCGTCACTTGGCGAACTATGGTTTATGGCTATGGGAATATAATTAATAGTACTGTAATTAATATAGTAACTATATATAACTTATACTACGTAACATATGTGAATAATTCTATAGTTGTTTGCATATATAGTTATTTGGATATAAATTATAAATAATATAACTTATATGAGCTATATTCCCATAGCCATAAACCATAGTTTATAATATAACCTACATAGTATTCATGGGCTCAAAACAAACCAACGTTCACAAATACCACTGGGGGATATTGGCGGCCCGGGTTGGGACACAGCAGAGGATGGCAGAGAAGCTATGTGCCCAAGGGCCAGAAGCAGTCCTTCTACAACACAGGCGCGGGCGCTTTGCGTCGCCCATTTAGGTTTCAGGAACCCGCAAAATTGCTTGACATATGGAAATGAATGGTTTCTGTGGGACATGGTGGAACATTATATAATATATATATATGGTGGATGTTGCATATCTACCTTAGTTTATTGGAGGTTATGTGTCAAAAAGGAAGACCACTTTAGGAAACGCCCGTCGTGGTGCCAGGTGCCAGCAGGTCGAGTAATTTCACCTTAGAGGCCGCTACAGTGTTACAGGGGACGGAGGTGGTGCCCTCATAGATCTCGAAGGTGGTCTAAGAAAATGTTGATTTAATGGGATTTAATAGGATTTAATAGGATTTAATAGGATTTAATAGGGTTTAATAGGATTTAATAGGGTTTAATAGGATTTCATGGGATTTTAAGGGATTTCATGGGATTTTAATGGATTTCATGGGCTAATAATCGGTTAATATACAGTAGGTTATATTGAGAGTATCATGGATTATATATATATATAACCTACCTTGGGAGTGCAGTTGGGGTTCATAGAACCATGGTAATTCCTTCCATAAGTAGAGATAGAACCCCCATAACTATGGGTATATTATCTCCAGGTATAGCTGGAACTACACTTCCAAGTAGATCATAGTAGTTGGTCTACAATGTGGGGCCCCTCAGTGATGTTTGTTGGTGTGTAAACCCCAGCAATGTCACGGATTTCAGCAGCAACATGTGGGATACCCTCTGGTAAACAGCCACAGAACTATGGAAAATCACCATTGTTAATGGTTCACTATAGTTATATAAGTACCATAAACATCCATAAACCAGTTCGTCAAATTGGAGTTATGTGAACCCCAACTTAGCTATCGTTTGGGGGGTGCCACTGTGTATGTATTTAACAAGCTAACTGTTGGGTTTATGTCGAATGTATCGAGCTCGTTGGACGAACATAAACTTCCGCAGACATGGGATGCAGAGTTGCGATGTACCTCGGCCCGAGGTATGCCAAAAATGCTTGGTGTAGATAGGCTTTTGTAAGTGCAGTTATGGCCATGGCTATTAGTGAACTAACTGGTTATTTCTATGGGATTATACATTCTATAAATGGGGTTCTGTTAGTACTTATAGCTGGTAAAAGGGCCTTAACTGTGGTGGGGAAGCGAACTGAACATGCACCGAAAAGCACTTGTACATATGAAATCATATGAATATTGTTTTATGATTAACGGCCAGCAGTACATCTTTATTCAATCCCAATGCCTGAAATCACAACTCAAATTTCAATCAAAGCGAAGCTCACCGCAATGAAATTATTAGTGTCTAGACTTAGATGCTATGATATATTTACCCTCCAGTAATCAATCATTAATGGCAATGGACAATCCTGCATTGATAGGTGATAGATGTTTTTCCCGTTAAAACCTCTACATATTTATAGAGGATGTTCATTGCCTTGTTTGAATTCCAGAGGATTATATATATATATATATATTGTATATATATATATATATATACATTGTTGTCATTTGTGATGTTTTTTTGTTGGCTAAATCAGATCAAGACACAAGACAGTCGTTTTTTTTCTGCATGTCCAATTCTGCTCCATGTAGAAAAATTACAATCCAGGGGATGATTCTCTGTACCTTCTGGTAATTTGTCACATAGCTATCGAAAATGACCATAGACATAGTGGATTTTCCCATGAATAGCATGGTGATTTTCCATATGTGAAATTACCAGAGGGTTTTTGTTGCTCTCCGGGTACTTGTTGCTGAAGAAATCCCTGAAACCTGGCGCCGTGGATCGAGGATCCAGGCTTCCAGTCATGGGGCCTGGAGGGGCCATCATTTGGCGACTTTGCTCAGTTGGTGGAAACATGAAAGAACTTACCCTCTGGTAATTTAACATATGGAAAATCACCATTTTCAATGGGAAAATCCACTATGTCTATGGTCATTTTCAATAGCTATGTTAAATTACCAGAGGGTAGACTTAGTTAGCTTGGGACTAGGTCAATCTTACATGGATACCTATACTAATCCTAACTAGTCTTTTGGTATGAAAATGGGAATATCTACGTTCACCAGCAAAAAAAAATGTTGCCGGGTATCTAAGATTGGCAATTGAAACATGAAATAACTTAGTTAGCTTGGGAGTGCTGACGTTTCAATAGTCCTGCAGGTTGAAACCCACTTTTAAGCCAACATAACCTTGGAAGATATCATGGGATATCATGGGAACATATAATGTGATACGGAGTATACACATCTAGTGAAAATGGGGCAGGGTAAACCATTGCAGTTATGGTATTTTACCAGTTATAAGGACTTATAACCCCCACTTCTGGAGTATATAATCCCATTTAGAACAAGTTATACTAACTTATAACTAATAAATGAGTTATTTCTGTTCATATTTAACTGCTTTCATGGCCATAACTGCCATAACTATGGTAATTTAATCGTTGGCTATGGATAATTACCCATTTATAGATGATTTACCTATGAAGCATGGTGATTGTTCATAGCTACAGCATTTATAACTGCTTTCATGGCCATCACCGTGAAACGTCGGAATTTCCCCACGGCAGGATGTCGTCGCTGATCAGATCAACGTGTGGCTCGAGGAGAACTCCACCGATGTGCATCGAGACGTTGCTGTGAAGGCGGGCGGCCCCGGGAGGCGACGCGGCGTGGCGGAGGGGCAAAAACAGTGGAAAGGCCTAGGAAAATCAGAGGAACAATAGGAAAAACATAGGAAACACCGATAATTTATGGTGATTTATGGTGATTTAATGGAACAACACATGGGAAAACATGTGATTTTTCACTAAGAAACTAATATGGATATATATATATATATATATGTGGATTCGATGGGATTGATGTAAATTTGATTGGCTGATTTGTGATAGCTAAGTTGACGCAAATAAAATAACTTGATGATGGATTGTATGGCTTATTAAGGGTTTTGAACTTATATAACTACTCGTGCTATATAGTATTTCATGGGGTTGAAACCAACAAACATCACTGGGGGTGCCTTACATTGTACCTCTTGGATGTGCATCAATGGATTCCATTTTGGGTAAAAAGTTGATGTGGTTTATTTCTCGGTGAAGTTATATAATCTGGTTGGTGGTTTGGAACATGTTTTATTTTTCCATATAATGGGAATTTCACCATCCCAACTGACAAACTCCATCATTTTTCAGAGGGGTAGGGCTCAACCACCAACCAGTAATAGTTTTCCCATTATCATCCAATCAATTCTCCATATTTTAAGCGGATTATTCAGGTACTTCTGAGCTTCAACAGCTATATATCTACCATCAACCACTACCAGATAATTTTGGCCGATGATATTCCCATTGATCACCATTAAATCACCATTAAATCACCATAAAATCACCATAAAATCACCATGAATCACCATGCATGGCCCCCAGCCACGTGATGTGAACGTTGGTGAAGCCCAGTGGAGTGAGAGCCACAAGATGATCATAGATGATCCTATGGACCGGCGCATTTCCGACCCATTGCTTACAATTGCTTATTTCACATTATATATATATATACATATATATACTGTGTACTAATATATATATATATAATGTATATATATATATGTTATATGGTTATTCTCACCCATATATAAGTATCTATAATTCTAAAAGATGGAATGTACCCTCTGGTTATTTGACAGTTTGCTATGGAAGCCATGTACCATCGTAGATGAGAAAGATGATGTTTTTGCTATTGAAAGTTGTTTTTCCCAGTTTTCTACTGTACTATAAATTACCAGAGGGTATGTACTTTGACATGTACGCCTTGATGCATTAGATTAATACATGCACATCCACAGGTGGGCCGTTCGTATGTTTTATTATGGTTTTGAGTTTTCATACAACATCAAGGACATGTCTATAGACATACTTTCCACTACCCTCTGGTAAACGTTTACAGTTCGCGAACTTGAAAATGGCCATAGAAATCGTGGCATTTACTGTGGATTTATTTACCCATTCAAAGTGGTGATTTTCCATATTTGTTTTGTATGTTTGCCAGAGGGTAAATCAATACCACAGTTTTGTTTATCAGTTTCGTGTTTTCATCCACGGTGCGATCAAGTCATCGGGTAAACAGGAACACATCAACATAGACATGCTGAAAGTTCAACCAGCCCAACTACTTGGTGTCCCTTCCCCGGGGAGGTTGCCATGATGTCATCCCCGGAATGCGTATCATAATTTGTCATACCATGTGGGGCCCCCAAACGTGATGTCAACGTTGGGTTTTAATCCCCAGTAGCTATAGTTATAAGTACCATACAGTACCATAAACCATAGTGAAATTGGAGTTATACATCAACTTAGCTATCGTTTGGGGGCCCCACTTTGTATGGTTCTATGACCACAGTTATGGCCCTTAACAGTTACAAATGGAATTATAATGATGTATAACTCACTAGTTATAGGATGTTATAGGAGTTATATGTCCAGTTAAAATCATTTAAGACTTAATGGCCATAACTGCGGAAAAGTGAGAAGCCAACAATTTTCTTCGATGGCATCCCAACAAGCCACCGCAACATGTGACCTGTTTTTGCGTAGCAACAGGGAAGAAAGACCAATGGGTATGGGTCCTGCAGAAGTTAACAGAGGCCTGTTGAAATATATATATATATACATATGTATACCTATTAATATATACCCATATATCCATTATATACCCATATATACCCATTATATGCCCATATATATTTTGAAAGGCACTTGTTCTGAATCACCCAACTTATTTGCGCTGAAAGTGCCGGCAATTTAAGGATGCATTTGTCAACGAGATAAAGGATAGAGTTGGCCACCATTGTTGATTGCGACTTCGATAGTGTCAAAAAATGATGGGTTGTGATTGGTTAACGTTGTCCAAATCAAAAGCAATAGCTGGTTAGAGATTGGATCCGTCATTGGAAAGTAATATTCAATGAGAAATTCTGCTAATGATGTGGGTAAAACAATTATAAACAATCCCCCAAATCACCATTTTTCTAGGTGCTATGGCATTCTTTTACCCACATTGATGTGGTTAATAGATGATTGTGATTGCTGCTTGGAGCGGTACGTGGCTTCTTGCCACTTGCCGGCTTGCTACGGAACGCTCCATAATTCTCCATTACCATTGGTGATTGAATTCTTCCATTAAGACACACTCGATGGGGAATTCTTCAGTGGTTTCAGTTTCACGTCTGTATGATGGTTTAACAGACGTGCAATTCATTCCATTACCCATATGCTCCATGTATGGAACATTTACCAACATGTGCCCTAAAAATCAACCAAATGTAGGTAAATATACCATACATGGAGCATATGGGTTATGTCGATGCTTCGTTTGTGAAATGGAGAACATGAGGATGATCGGGGGTACACTATTTTTAGACTGACCCAATCTGGTTGGTGGTGACTGAACATGAATTTTATGACTTTCCATAAATTGGGAACTTCATCATCCCAACTGACGAACTCCATCATTTTTCAGAGGGGTAGGGCTCAACCACCAACCAGCATTTTTTGAATAGTAGTTGATCAATAGTAGTGTTATATAAATATATATAGATGATAGTAATGTTAGCTACTGTTCTTTTTCTCTGTTTTTCAATAGTATTTGTCCCGAAGAGCAGTGATGCATGCAGGAAATGATCCATATTGAACTGGAGGTTTCCGAAAAAATGATTTGGGCAGCACCAAATCATCCAAAGAATTGCCAATTTTTCAAAACTTTATGTTTTTTTGGGATCCCACATTTTTTTTGAATCTTCAATTTTAGTTCGGATGTGTGTAAAATTGATTCTCAGGGATTTCCACACAGTCCGAAACAGATTGAAGCGTTCATCACGACATTTCTGTGTATATAACATTCAAAATTCCGCTCATCATTGGGGTTTACCACGAGTGTTTCTTAACATGGTTGAACCCAAAACCAATGCTGTTTTATTACTGAAATAGATCGAACTTGTCTATGTAAATCTATACTGTAGTGATTTGCATGGTTTGAGGGTCCGTCCATTAAACTAATAGAAATACGAGCACCTATAGTACGTGGTTTGCCAGCCATGGACATAACACCTATATGTTGTTCGTGTTTCCTCAGTCATATATGTACTGTATATATAAATAACATGCATGCAGGATGGTGCCCCCCCAGTGATGTGAATGTTGGTTTATAACTTTATAACCCCCATGAATACTAGTTGGTTATATCTGCCATAAACCAAACGTTTTCCATGGGAGTTATGTGAAGCCCAACTGAACGCGATTTAGCTCACTGGGGCACCACCTTGTGATGTATTTCTCTCTGGAGATGCAGGCAGCAGAGATCTACACCAATGCTTTGGGAGCGGTTGAGTTCCTCGGCCCTCAAGGACAACCAGAGAAAACTATGGTGATTTCATTAGCAAAGATATGGAATTAATATGATTCAATGGGATCTATATAGGTATAAAATTGATATGTGATAGCTAAGTTGGTAATCATAACGAGGTGAATTCTATGGTTTTGGTGGAGTACATACAAGTACCTATGATATATATATATATAATCAATTAACTATAGTTCATAAGGGGTATAAACCAACTTGTACCTGGGGGCACCTGCATAAAAGACCAAATTACTTTCTTCGAGTGATCCTCACCCTGACACATTATTCCGAGATACTATCCGGAAGTATGTAATGGATGTAAATATATTCTGACATTTTCTGACAGTCTTTCTGGCAGAAGCTCTGACATTCCTTCTGGCATTCTAGCTAGCATCTATTCTGGCATACTCTCTGACATATATGCTGACTTTCTTTCTGGCATTCTATCTGGCATCTATATTCTTTCTGACATTCTTTCTTGCATGCTATCTGGCATAGATTCTGACATTCTGACATGGGCACTGCCGCTTGAGGTCCGGCAATGTCCACTGACATCGCGAGCTCACAGTTGAGGTCTGGCAGTGACCACTGACATCTGGCGGAGGAGAGGGGGAGGAGAGGAGAGGAGGAAGTAAACCTGATAAAGTCTCGAGACCCTCACCTGGCACTTGGGGAACAGTATAAGGAGTCGGATATGGTGAGAATTGTGTGTGGGATATATTACCAACATGGGATATAACGGAGATATGTGATATGATTGATATGGAATGTAAAAACCAAACACTATGGAATGTACCCTCTGGTTATTTAACAGTTCGCCATGGTATAGATGGCCCATAGAAATAGATGGTTTACCGAACTTAAAAATGGGTGGATCTTTCCATGGCTATGTTAAATAACCAGAGGGTAATATAGTGGGAACCCATTGTTTTTTTTGGCAGTTACCATCAACAACATGATTTGGATTTGTCCAAAACTTGGGTTTGCCAACAAAGACAATCTTAATTGGACGATCCACCGGTGGATTTGGGTGTTTTTTTCTACATTCTCAAACGAAACCATTCTGGTTCAGTTACTACAATGTGGGGCCCCCAAACGATAGCTAAGCTGGTGAACATAACTCCAATTTCACTATGGTTTATGGATGTCTATGGTCCTTATAACGAACTAGTTACTGGGCTTATAAACCAACAAACATCACTGGGGGGCCCACATTGTATACAAGGAACGGTAGCGTCAAGTTCTCAAGATGAGTCTCTCGGTGGATTCGCGCCAGCTGTTTTGCATAGCCTGGGGAAGGCCGAGAACAGTGGAATGTCAGACAAACCATTGGCAGAATCCGCGCTGTATGTGGAGTCCGAGTTGGTGTCATTGGCGAGCTGCGGCGAACTTTGGGAAGTACGCGAAGTGTTTCAAGGAATTTGCTACAATGTGGTGCCCCCGTTCGATAGCTAAGTTGGTGAACATAACTCTAATTTCACTAGGACTTATGGTAGATATATCTATAGTTAATGGGATTATAAGCCAACAAAAATCACTTGGGGGGGGCACCACCTTGTATCTACAATGACACAGGGTGCCAGCTGAACCCGAGGTGAGGAGTCGGATTTTAGGCTCGATTTCAGATTGCTCTCTGTTAATTTACTGGAGGGTACAGTTAAGGCCCGAGTTATACCAGTTATAAGTAGCATAGTACTAAGAAAACCCCATTTATAGAATTTTTTTATCCCATAGAAATAACCAGTTATAACTAATAAATGACCATAACCATAACTGTATATTTTTGAGTCGCAGACTGCTCGGACAAGTGATGGAGTCTGTCAGGTTCTTGTCAGAGTTTGGTGATTTTCATCCAGGCCGCTTAGCCCAGAACCCGGGGCCACCTGGTGTTTCAAGTTTGAAGCTGACCACTGCAGGCTCAGCCCCTTCACTCCAAAAATACAACTAAACATCAGCATAAACATAAATCGATACATCAACATAAACATGAAATCTAATCATATAGAAACATGAATCTGGAAATGAAGTAACATAAACATAACATAAACTAACATAAACATACGCCCAAACCTATAACAAACAGTATCAAACAGTATTTTTATACGTGGGTTGATACGGTGACCGTGTTCTCTGAGGCTGAAGCCGACCGAAGACACCGCTAGCTGGATGGAACAAGAGTGCAAGGCAAGTGAGGGAACGGAGGTTCTTAACTACCCCACCTGGAGAAAACCAAGTGGAGATAAAGACCCTCTATATACCAGTTAAAAATGGTTCTATAAATGGTTCTATAGGTGATTATAAATGGAGCGATCAATGGTTGTAACTGGGTATAAATGGTTTTTTTTATTGTTTTTGATATGGGGTTATCATGCCATAAATTTTGTCTTTGACTTATAAGTGGTATTTTGGGCCAGAACTGTGGCTAATGTCAAACCCATATGAATGTCAACTCCTGGGCTTTCAAAGTTTTCTTCACTTTTATTTTGGTTGGTACGAGAGATAGATCGCTTTGCGCACGCATCCACGATACTTGCTTGCCTTGGAGGAATATAATACCAAGTACCACAATGTGGGGCCCCCCAGTTGTGAATTGGTTTATAAACCCTAATAACTAATAGCCATACGGTAACGACATTTAAATATGTGGAGGGCGGGCCAGACCGCGAGGCCACGGAGGTAGTATGAAATACCAGTTCGTATATTTAAAAGCCCGTATATTTAAATGTATAGTTACAGTAGTTATAAATACACCAAACCATACAATGTGGGGCCCCCTAGTTATAAGTTGGTTTATAAGCCTCAATGACTATAGTTATAAGTACCATAAACCATAGTTATTGGAGTTATTAACCAACTTAGCTATCTAGGGGGCCCCACTTTGCACCTTTTCAGTCGGAACTGCGCGCACTACGCCACCGACCTGGCTTGGAAGATCGTGACGTCTAGTTCCATCATTGGCGGTGACGCGGTGATAAAGATGGGATTGCAACTGCAACCTTGCGATTTTGGTGATGTTCCCACAGTTAAGGCCCGAGTTATACCAGTTATAAGCACTAAGAAAACCCCATTTATAGAATGTATAATCCCATAGAAATAACCAGTTATAACTAATAGCCAGTGCCATAACTGCATGATGGACGATGGATTGCTTGGCATTGACATGAAATTGCGCGTTTGCCAGTCTCGTATTTTAGATCATATCGCTAGGTGTTTCGCCCCTCATTAATTATAGAATCAAACAGGGGTTAAAAATGCGGGGTTGGCATTCTAGATTCTAGATTCTAGAGTTCATGTAGTATTCCAATTTTTCGCTATGGATGAACATGTGGATCTTTTAGCCAGCTAAACTGCTGGTTATCTAAGATTGGCCATGTTAAGGGAACTTGAAATGGCCACATTCCGTACCTTGCAAATGGCTAGGCAATCCATCCCCCAAATAGTTGGTTCACTCTTGCGACATTTTGCAAGGGTAAGCAAAGATGTGTTGCAGTGACATGACCAGTCAAGTTTGGATGTTCATGTGAGAAAAAATAGTTCAGTGGTTTCTCTTAGTTTTTTTTCTACTGTTATTTTTTTGTATCACACATATTGTTGTTTTTTTAACTTGGTATTTAAAATATTTATATAGATGTATGTACAGTCAAAAAACATAGATACCTTTCGAGATGGTTGAAATCCCACTGCGAAATGGTGAATTTGGGGGTTGTTGATTATATAAACACAATGGTTTACCATTATTAACCAATCATCACTTCAACAATTATTATCCAATTATTTTTTGCTTACGACAGTATAAAGATCTTTTACAGTTATGGCCCTTTGTATAGCAGTTATAAGTCAGTGAAATGACATCATGTATGGAATAATTAATTGCCACAATGAAATACAACCGTTTATAACCATCAAAATACTGCTGCTTGGTGGTTTGGAACATGTGTCTTGTTTTCATATGTTGGAAATTTCATCACCCCAACTGACTTTCATATTTTTCAGAGGGGTAGGTATACCACCAACCAGATATTTGGAACATTGTTTATTTTCCATTTCATATATGGGATGTCATCCTTCCCAGTGACGAACTCCATCATTTTTCAAGATGGTTATTGCACCACCAACCAGAAAACCATCAAAATACTGGTATTTTTTCGGCCTTAACTGCAGTTAAGGCCCTTTACCAGTTATAAGTACTTATAACCCCATTTATAGAATGTATAATCCCATTTATAACCAATTATAACTAATAAATGGCCATAACTGTGCACATTTTTCAGATCTCTCTTTGATTTTCATCGTTGCAGACAGTGCTCCGCAGGTCATGGGCCAGATGCCTTTCATGTACTCGTGTCACGCTCCGAGCGATGGAGCGATGGAGCGATGGAGCGAGGGCCTGGTGAAGCCGTTACAATGTGGGGCCCCACCAGTGATGTGAACGTTGGTTAACAAAAGCCCCAGTAACATCCAGTAACTATAGTTATTTTTGTACCATAAACCATCGTTACTGGAGTTATGTTCACCAACCTAGGTATTCGTAAACGGTGGCCCCACATTGTAAGTGACAACATGTTTTCCGGTGAACGATGTGTATGATTGTGTATGTTCATTCTGAGGAGTTGGGATTCGATGTTACAAGTTTCACCTCAGTGATGTTTTCTTCCCATGTTGGACCCATAATGGGGATGGCATCTTTTGGCTGATATAGAGACGCTAAGGTAGCTACAATGATAGCAATTCCTAAACACGGTTAAATTGTCTTCACTGGGTACACCGAACCGAAAAGACGATAATTACGCCATAAAGATTTCAGATGTGGTCCGTTGCCCTTTTTGTTGACCTGATGAGGCTCCAACAAGATCAATGTCTTGGTTCAGATTCTCGGCTTGATCTCTTTCTCGACGGAATTCCGACAATGATTTATTTATATATATAGTATACAGTACATATTATTTATATATATATATATATGTACGTGTATATATATATATATCCATAAATGGGGTACCCAAAATGGATGTTTATAAGCGCCCCCATTTCTGGAAACCTCCATAGAAAAAGGCCCTTCTTTTCTGGTTTTGTCCGATGGTTGGGGATGCCCCGCTGTTGTATGAGTATGTTACAATGATGATCAACATTTTTATGTGAGTTTTTGTTTAATCATGTTGGATCCTAGACCCTACGTTTGTACCCTTATAATTTGATAAACTTGGTAGTTTTACAGACTAATCTTAGTATTTTTTACATATGTTTACTGAGTTTTACCTTTTTTTTGGGGGTGGTGTTATAGTTGGTTATAGTTTTTAGATTCCAATATATCCCACAATCATCATTTTATATTGCCATGGCACATAAACATTGATGATTTGGAAGGTCTAGGAACCACAGTGTGAAGCCCACTGTGAACCGCAGCTACAGTTATGGCCCAAAATGCAAGTTATAAGTTAGTGAAATACCACCATTTATGGAATTATAACCCCATAGGAATAACCATAGAAATAACAATGTGTTTCAGCATTAATAACTGATTAACTCGCTAAGGGTTTGGCATGGAAGGAAATGGCTTCAGTCCCAAGGACTTGGCCCACAATTCACCAAGTGGCAATGCTGTTTCCGCGAAAACGGAAAGCTGACTTTGGAGCTTGGCTTGGTTACTCTGAATCAAGTTCAGAACAACCAATTTCATCATTGAAAAAAGGTCCGATCTGCTTTTTTGCAAGCTGCGCCCACAAGGAAACATGAAGGAGGCTTTTGGCGTACGCAGTTATTGCTCTTTGGTGAAGCCCCATTTCTAGGGCCCAGTGCTGTACAGGTGCTGAAGAAAGAGCTCAAAGTTCTAAAGGAACAACACAAGCAGTTACGAGAGGCTTCGGTGCCTGCAGATTTACTTGTGTTTGCTTTGGTGGAAATCAGGAGGTTTGATCATTCACGGCGAAGCAGTTGCGACCAATAGAAAGGAGCAGAAGCTGGCCGCCAAAAGGCGCCAGCGACTCCTCAAGGTTAAAGTCTGCACCTTGGAGTCTTCAAATTTGTGCGTGGCAGGCGTGCAAGCATGACAGTCAAAGTCCCCACATTGGAATCTTGACCTTTGACCGCGCAGGCGAAAGTAACTCTACACCAGAATTTAAATATTATAAAAAAAATCACGAGGTGCAGCGTTACAAATGGTAAATATCCATAAAAATCCCATGAAACCCCATGATTTGTTGTTAGTTAAATCGTATGTTTTCGGGCTTTAGCTGTCGCATTTCCAGGAAATGCGGCTTCGACAATGCCTTCGTCATGTCCAGTCACTCGATCGGATGTCCTTGGAGGTCGCTCTATGGTTGATGTTAGATATAAGACGATATATTGATAATTTACTAGAATATACAATAGTTATACAATAGTTATGGTTATACTATATCTATAGTTATATCATAGTTATGCTATAGTTGTATTTATAGTTATAGTATGTTATAGTCATACTATAGTTTTAGATATAGTTATACTATAGTTATATCTAGTCTAGTTATATAATGGTCTTTATCAACTATTATGGAACCCAGAATAGATTGTAAACCAACTTGTAACTGGAGGAGCCCACATTGTGGGCAAGTTGTTTCATCAGAAGCGTCCACTGTTAGAATCTTCCAATGTTTGGTGCGGTGTTGTTGCACTTGCCCGGTGACACAGAAATGGGGATATTCATAGACTATAAAAGGTAGGCTCCCAGTTGTCGGTTGTTCCCCACCTGCCAGCCTGCCAGGTGAGGGTTCTTAGATTTTATCAGAGTTGTTCTTCTCCTCCTCCTTCCTCCTCCTTCTCCTCCTCCGCGTCCTCCTCCTCTTCTACCACCTCTGCCTCCACTTCCACGTCCACTGTTGCCTTGCCAACTCTTGGCCAAGCTCTTCGCCAACTTCGGAGCTCAGTGCGCATTGCTGGACCTCAACCTGGGACCTTCCCAGCTCAGTGCGCACCGCTGGACCTCAACCTGGGCGTCCACTGTTGCCTTGCCAACTCTTGGCCAAGCTCTTCGCCAACTTCGGAGCTCAGTGCGCACTGCTGGACCTCAACCTGGGACCTTCCCAGCTCAGTGCGCACCGCTGGACCTCAACCGGGGACCTTCCTAGCTCAGTGCGCACCGCTGGACTTCAACCTGGGACCTGCCGAGCTCAGTGCGCACCGCTGGACCTCAACCTGGGGATAGAATGCCAGAAGATATGCCAGATAGAATGTCAGATAGAATGCGAGAAGATATGCCAGATAAAATGCCATAAGATATGATGCCAGATAGAGTGCCAGGAGATGTGCCAGATAGAATGTTAGAAGATATGCTAAATAGAATGCCAGAAGGTATGCCAGATAGAATGCCAGATAAAATGCCAGATAGAATGCCAGAAGATATGCCAGATAAAGTGCCAGAATGTTTGCCAGATAGAATGCCAAAAGATTTGAGTAGATACTATGCCAGAAGATATGCCAGATAGAATGCCAGAAGATATGCCAGATAGAATGCCAGATAGAATGCCAGAAGATATGTCAGATAGAATGCCAGAAGATTTGCCAGTAACAAAATGTATAAATGTCATGGTGGGGATCACACGAAGTAAAGTAATTTCTTTTTAAAACCCCATGAGTACTACAAAGTGGGGCCCCCTAGATAGCTAGGTTGGTTCAAAACTCCTAGGTACTTATAATTATAGTTACTGGGGCTTATAAACCAACAAACATCACTGTGGGGCCTCACATTGTAGAGTTACTTATCCCATTTGATCCCCCCTAGTTAACCCTAGTTCACTGAGCTATTTGCACCAACTTAGCTAATTTAGCTATCGTAAATGGGTGCCGCACCATCTTTCGCAGAAACCGTTGCCTGTGCAGACATGTCGTGGAGCAGAATCTCAAAGGGACACAGTTAATATTCAACCATCAGTTCGGATTTATGTGCTAAGATTTCCTTGTAAAGAGATTAAATCTTGAAGTCTGCGACAATTGCACAGCAAGAAGAACAAGACGTCCCAGGGGACTGGCATTTCCAACACGGACTACCAATGGTTGCCGGAGGAGTTGGGAGAACATCATGCCAGACATGATGTCTGGGTGGCCGAGATCCCGTTCATCGGCTTGAAGACCTTCACGTGTGACACCTCAGGCTATCTGTGTTGTTGCAAGAGTCGGTGAATCGCAATGTTTCACTGCATATTTTAGCATCTTTTTTGTTTTTGCCAGGTAACCTGACGTTGGATGACCTGAAAAAGGGATCTCTGAGCTGGAGGTGCCGAAGGACAACAACGCCCCACCGCCGTTCGCAGGGAAGAAGATCCGGGACGTGATCCCACTGGGGCATTGGGGGTTCCACTCCAAGAAGAGGTCCACACCGTACAACATGCCAATCAAGGCATTAACATCTCAGGATATGCCTTTGACATTTTCATGGCACAGGTGGAGCGCAAGCTACGAGGAGCACGGTGAAGACTGGGAGAACGCCCTGTGGCGCTGACGTGCTCACGGTGGGACGTGAATATGATTAAACTGTTCATCACAATTGAAACCACCAATAAGACTGGTTGATCATCAAAGTAGACTGGTGGTAAACGGTCCACTTCAAGTCGTTGGACTGGACTGTGTGCCTCGGTGGGATTTGCTGAGTCATGTTTGTGTTGACCCCACTTGGTGGCCTATCCCGCTTACTAAGTGGGTTATAACCCAAGTTACAAGTGGATTAACCCTACTTGTCCCACTTATAACGCGGGTTATAAGAGACTTGCTAAGTGGGGTGAACCGCCAAGCAAAGAATTTCAAAACAGTCGACTTCATTGGGGAAGTTCGACTTTTTCGGGCAACTCATCTTATCCCCTTGTTTTTTGGATAGATCATGAAAACAGGTTTAATTAGCTAAATGATAATCAATCCATCATCCCAGCCCCTCCATGGTTTACACCTCCTTTCCATGGTCGCACTGGCATGTGTCACAATCCCCTACATCAACCATGGTTTGGCTTGTCTCATATGAGCGATGGGATTAGCAGACTGTGGATACCTAGGCCTTTCAAATGGTGGGCAAGACAGCATTTTGAAGAGTGCAAACAGAGAGTCTAGGTAGACATGCTCATATGTAGACCATACTGCGACAAACATATATATATATAGATATATTCTTTCCAAGTGAGGAATGACCAAGAGTTACAAATTTCTTTGAAATGGTAAATGAACTTTATTGCTTTGTATGTTACTTTTTTTGGTTGAACGATGATCGCAAGTGTCCCATTCTCTCCATAGCCATTGAGCAGCGCTTTTTGCGAGTTCCCTCGCCTCACCCGGCTTGCTGAGATGACTATTTGGTGAACTATCCCGCGCCGGTGAACAACAAGTCAGAACCCAACAATGCCACTTGATCGTTGAATGATGGTTAATGATGGTTAATGATTGTTAATAATGGTTAATAATCACTGGTTGGTGGTTTGGAACATTGTTTTACTTTTCCTTAAAAAAAGGGATAATACTTCCCATTGACTAATATTTTTCAAGATAGTTAAAACCACCAACCAGAAGAGTTCCAGTGGAAGGGTCATCAAACATGGCTAGCTGGGAAATATTACCCTATAAATGGGGATGCGACGTGGCAGCTGAATTTTCCGAGGCAGATTTGGCTCTGGCATGCCCTAGGGGTTGGACAACGTGCTTGACGGAGCATTGTCTCTGTGAGCTGCGTAGCAGAGGCGAAAGGCAGCTCGCTATCGCCAAAGCACCCACGCAGAGGTAGAGGCCAGGTAACGCAAGCGTGAAAGTCGTCTGAAGAAGGTGTGGAAAGATCTTGGGTTTAAGAAGGCGCCGAAAAGATGCCGGTAGAATGTGGCCTACGCTGGAAAAAAACACGTGTGGCAGTGGAAGGGCTTGATGATGTGTGGTTCTGATGGCGAAGCCTGTCCCGTGCAACGTGCGGTTTGGCGGTTTGGTGATTCTCTCTCGCAATTCTTAGTTTGAAAATCAACACAGTTAAGGCCCGAGTTATACCAGTTATAAGTACTAAGAAAACCTTATTTATAGAATGTATAATCCCATAGAAATAACAAGTTATAACTAATAAATGGCCATAACTGCAAGTGTTGGAAGACGCATTGTTTGCTCCCAGAGAACTAATAGAACCACATGTTTGAGGATGAAATTCAGTTCTACAAGGTGGTACCCTCCAGTTACACGTGGGTTTTGTAAATACCATTGCTACAATTATGATTACCATAAATCCCATAAATCATCATCAATTCCTAGTCATATTGCTGCCAAGTGTAGTTGTTTGCACCAACTTGGCAAAGTTGGGGGCACCACCTTGTAACTTGATGACTTCAAGAAATGTGCGCACCGTAGCAATCTTCTTCAGGTGGCTGAACGGCCAGGCGTTGATGTTTCCTGTATCCATTGGAAATTCTCATATCGTTTGTCCAGGGTAAGGGCACCCAGTTGCAAAGCGGGGCCCCGTAAACGAAGTCGCTAAGTTGGTGCAAATAACTAATACAACTACTGTATAGGTTTTATGGTACTTATACAGTAGCTTTACTTGCTGAGCTTGATCAACCATCAAACATCACTGGGGGGCCAAAAAAGAAAGTGTGTTTGGCAAAAACCATCTACAGAGGGTTGCTCCAACCTACTGTGGAAGAAATTTTGCACCAGTTGGTAACTACTGGTAACTATGAAACACTACAAACAATGTGATGGTGCAAGATCTCTTGTCACAACCACAAGGATGATGATTTTGAGCCTTTATATTTACCACCCACCTCGTACCCGGAGCGTTTGGAGCAACCCTGACAGCAGCTACAGTTATCAAAGCTGCCATAGACGCGCGTGTCGCATGACGCATGAGTTTGAAAAACCAGACTATCTTTGGATCACCACCTTGTAGATAAAATGAATAGAATATATACATCGATGGATTGGTTTAAGGGAAAATCTACAGGAAATCCCTATAACTGGTGGTAACGACAATGGTTTCCGGTTAAGATTTTCCCTTAAACCAATCCATTGATCAATGGCCATTCCAGGATCCTAAATTGGAGGTACCTACCATACATAAGGCCTATTTTTCAGGCCTAAATTTCAGGGAATATCCCCACAAAATATGGCCAAACATATGGTACTAACGTACCTCCAATTTAGGATCCTGGAAATCCCATTGATGATAGTTTTTTTGGCCCGAAATAGCAGTGATAAATTGTTAGAAATGGCCATATACATGGGCTTATCATTTCATAAATGGGGTGACTTACTGACATATAACTGCAATTCTAAGTGGTGTGGACCGCATCCTGAGGACATCATCTTCTACCTCTGCACTGAGATGGTGGACGGGCCCCTTGGCTGCCTTGGCTGCCACCTTATGGTGTGACCGGGGGGGAACGAATAAACCACGGGTGAAAGATTGGCATCTTTGTCTTTGACCAACATAACTACAGTTATGGCCATTTATTAGTTATAACTGGCTATTTCTATGGGATTATACATTCTATAAATGGGGTTTTCTTAGTACTTATAGCTGCAGTTTTGGCCCTTTACCAGTTATAAGTCAGTTATAACATCATTTATGGAATTATAACCCTATAGAAATAGCCATTGAGAATCATTTATAACTGGTATAACTCGGGCCTTAACTGTACAAGGTGGGCCCAGTCACAATATTGTTGGCTAAAAACCATGAATCTCTGCAAGGAGCCCCAGCTATGTTCACCAATTTAGCGATCGGGGGCCCCACATTCTAACAAAGTGATTTCATGGGAAAACCATAGGAAAAACCATAGTAAAAACCATAGGAACATGGGGATTTCATGGGATTTATAGCTGATTTATGATAGCTAAGTTGGTTAACTCCAATAACTATGGTTTTGGTACTTATAACTATAGTTACTGGGGATTATAAACCAACTTATAACTAGGGGGCCCCACATTCTAAGGTGACAATGGTCAGATCAACCGCACTGGCTGGCACACCAAACTCTGATGGAGTGAGCAGCACAGTACATTGATGAAACACTCCCGTCCTGAAAAGTGGTAATTGAACTGAAGTTACCAGACACTGCATGGTCTTCAGATGTCTTCGGCAAAATCCTCCGAATAATGGCACGTCAACCTTCTTACGGTTAAGGCCCTTTACCAGTTATAAGTACTAAGAAAACCCCATTTATAGAATGTATAATCCCATAGAAATAACCACTTAGTTCACTAATAGCCATGGCCATAACTGTACTTGCAATCACAATCAGGGTCAAGTTTCTTCTTGTACGACGCCCCAACCTCAATTCAACAGGACCACAGGAAGTGAAACACAAAACGTACAAGACACGTGGAGGTTTCCTAGAATGGGACGCCAAAATCATCCAACATTGGTTTGTATCAATGGGAAAACCTACCCATATTTTCGATGTGAGTGTGTCTCAAACTTCAATACCCCTAAAAGTGGGGCGATTTTGTACTTGTACCCTTTAATAAGATGGCTGGCAATCCTCATGGAGCTTCTGATCTGAACATCATATATAATCTGGCTGGTGGTTTGGAACATTTTTTATTTTTCCTTATATTGGGAATTTCATAATCGCAACTGACTTTCATATTTTTCAGAGGGGTAGGTCAACCACCAACCAGTAATACTATTTTGGCATTTGTCATTGCATGTCATCGCTATGAAGGGAAATCTGTCAGGTTTTTCTCGATTTCTGGTAGCTTGATTTGGACCCCAAATTTTCTGACCAATCTGAATCTCTACAGTTATGGCCATGGCTATTAGTTATAACTGGCTATTTCTATGGGAAAAAAACATTCTATTTTGAGGGTGTTTTCTTAGTACTTAAAACTGCAGTTTTGGCCCTTTACCAGTTATAAGTCGGTTATAACATCATTTATGGAATTATAACCCTATAGAAATAGCCATTGAGAATCATTTATAACTGGTATAACTCGGGCCTTAACTGTACAAGGTGGGCCTGATCTCTGCGGACACCGAGGAATCCCAATCCTTATGCCCTTGCCAATACCTTCGCCCATGAATTGGCGCATGTGATTCAGGGGGGCCACTTGGCCGCCCGTTTCTGTGGCGCAGTGGCTGCCAGCAGCCTCTGGTTGATGATAGTTCTTTGGCCCGAAATAGCAGTGATAAATGGTTATCTGGTTGGTGGTTTGGAACATTTTTTCCATATATTGGGAATTTCATAATCCCAACTGACTTTGATATTTTTCAGAGGGGTTGGAACCACCAACCAGTTATAAATGGCCATATACATGGGCTTATCATTTCATAAATGGGGTGACTTACTGACTTATAACTGCTATTTCGGGTCATGTCTGTAGGGGATTTTGATCACCGTTTTTATATTGGGGAAGATCATAATCGGGTGGGTGGTTTCACACGTTTTTCCTTTTCCATTTCATATATGGGATAATCCTTCCCATTGACGAACTCCATCATTTTTCAGAGGGGTAGGTCAACCACCAACCAGTAATACATTGTGGGAATCATACAGTTATGGTCATTTATTAGTTATAACTGGTTATTTTTATGGGATAAAAAACATTCTATAAATGAGGTTTCCTTAGTACTTATAACTTGTATTTCGGGCCTTAACTGTATGAATTAACTAGCCACTATCGCCATTTGAGTTCCAGGTTTTGGATGGTTTTAGTGGACCCCCCAGATGGTTGATGTCAGCCATTAAGATCATTAAGACTACTAGGGTTATAACCCACTGACTAAGTGGGATGAACCACCAAGTAGCCTTGTTGATTGAATATTATAGATTATTTTAGGAGGTTAAACTACCTGGTTGCTCGGGGATTCTTGCTACCCATAATAGGAACACATATTAACCAACCAGATCCAACAAGTATTTTCAGGAGATAGGATAGGGCTTATTTATTCTTCTCAATATTTATCAATCAACATTTTTGGGACAATTCCAAGTTGAACATTCGTTTCAATGCGATCCGATTTCGTGTTTGACAAACTGATGAAAATATGTTAATGAAGTATAATGTATATAATCATAACGATGATTAGTAATTGTAATCACATACTTGTCAAAACACAATGTATTTTTTGGCATAATATATATATATATATTTATATTCATAAATTTATATTATATATATATATATTCATATATATATATATATTTAATTACAAACATCATGAAGTAAATCAACATGCGTCATTTTTTCGACCGTTGTCGTCGCGGTCATGTCACCTTCGGCTCGTTTTTGTCTCGGAAAGCGTCGGCTCGTTCCAAGGATTTGGCCACAGTTCGGGTGTAATGATGGAGGGTGGTGCCACCTGGTTGGAAGGCGACGTCGCCTGGTTTGGCCTGCAGGGTTAACGTACAAAAAAACAGGTTGGCTATTACCCTGATGATCTTATAATTTTTACCATGTGTTATTAACTTTGCATGATCTATGTTTGAACATTCCTGCAGTTATGGCCATGGCTATTAGTGAACTAACTGGTTACTTCTATGGGATAAAAAACATTCTATAAATGGGGTTTTCATGGGTTTTCTTAGTACTTATAACTGGTAAAGGGCCTTAACTGTGAAATACGGTGAATACAGGTTAATACCGCCCAAAAGATGGAGACAATGACGATTTTGAGACCGAACATGGTGATTTTTGGCATCGCATAGCTTATTGCTTTCCAGTCAACCAGGAGTTGTTTTCGGCAAGATATTTGGAGGAGCCCAGTTGATAAGTGGTTTTCATACCGGAGTTTAATGCCCGGTTTTTGTTGATGGGATAAGCCAGGAATCGGGGACATGACTTTTCTAAAGGTTACGTGAAGGACGTTCACCAGTGATCATTTGGCACCAAAAAAATTGAGGTTTCACCCAGCGTTTTGAAACTGTGTATAAAGGCAGGATCAAACGAGCCGATCGAACCATTAAAAAGTATCGAACATTTATAGTCGATTGTAGACGTGTTTTTTTTGTGGGAGCTAATCAAGATCTGAAGATTTTTGAACGCTTGCTCTTTACCCTTCTTGGTAAACATACAAAAAACCGACTGGACAATAACCATCTTTAATATGTAAATCAACTATAAATGGGCCATTTTCAATAGCGAACTGTTAAATTACCTGAGGGTATTTCTTACAGTGCTTACACAGCCAAAACCAGTATGGGAAAGCCTCTAAGATCTGCATTCAGCCTGACAAAGATTGGCAAAGCAAGATCATTCCCATTTGAAGCCTACTTGGATGCTAATTCCTGGATAAAACTTGCTGATGGGTAGTGGCCAAATACTTGCTTTTAGTTTGCGAAACACATGACATAGGGATATCATCCAATATTTATCATGAATACAGTTCATAGTGAAGCTCATCAGCATCAGCTCACCCCATTAGCAGATTGACCTCATAAAAAAAAAAAATCAGCCGATTTTTCTCACCATCTTCACCTGGGTTCCCTGGGGGCGCAGCGGCGCAGGGAATCTTCTCAACTTGGCTCCCCGTCCTATGATCTTTGCATGGGGCTTCCGCGATTGGCAACTCGCTGTGTTGAGCGCGAGGTGTTGTGACCTATCGGCCTTGGTTGGGGATTGTGCATAGGGAAAATTCCAACTGGTTGTGGTGCGATGTTGTTGACAAATATCCAACAACTGCCCTGAGGTTGTAGAAACATGGCAAATCAATACAGAAATGCAAAACAATTAGGAGAAACTATTCCCATTGTTGAATTGAAATGAGTTGAAAATGCTGATGAACAAATTCTGATCCGGTGTGGATGGAGGAATTGTACTGTAAGTGCCATGGAACCAAGCAGCTTTTGGTCCAAAAAAAAATCTGGTGAACCCCCGCTGTCATGTCAACGTCCCGGAATTAACACATTATATATACAATATACAATTGATATATATATATATATATTATATTTCGTATAAATATTGTATATATATATATGTGTATAATACAAGGTGAGGCCCACTCAGTAATGTGGGTTAGTCTATAAACTCCATGAATACTACAGATATTTTTGCCACAAAAAAATGGTAACCAAGTTAGAAGTCAGCTTAGCTATCGTATTTGGGGGCCTGAACTTGTTAATCCTGGTTGGTAAGTCCACGGCAAGTGGATTATCCCGAAAATTAAATGGGCCACAACTACAATGTGTTGCCTCACATTTACAGTAAGTCAACTAATTATTTAGCCATTTATACTATAAGTGGGTTTACAAGTAAGTCAAGTGGATCTATAAGTAAGCCAACTACTGTTTTTCTCTGTACTTGTTCTAGGGCCTCCTAGGTAGCTATATAAATTGGTTTAAATAACTCCCCAAACTAGGGTTTATGGATGTTTATGGTACTTATACTGTAACTAGAGTATTCATGGGGGTTACAAACCAACTCATAACTGGAGGGCCCCACATTGGGTTTCTGGTAGACAACCAAAAAAACTCGGAGGCGGCACCATTCGGGTTACTATAAGCAGTATGATCACTTTGGGAATTTCAGGATCCAATACATGGAGGTACGTAAACGTACCATATGTTTGGCCATATTTTCTGGGGATATTCCCTGAAATTTAAGCCTAAAAAATAGGCCTTTTTAATACTGTACATTGTTTTTACTACCTCCAATGAATCGGATCCTGAAGATCTCCCATTGATTATATTTCTAATCTAGTACTAAATATCCCCATAATATCCCCATAATATCCCCATAATATCCCCATAATATCCCCATGGGGATTATTACTATTTATGATGGGGATTACAAATAATAGGAGATAATTATAATCAATGAGGATCTCCCATTACTATTAGAAATAGACATTATCCCCACAAAGTGGGGCCCCCATTTACGAAATCGCTAAGTTGTGGTTCACATAATTCTAATTTCACTATGACTTGTGGTAGATATATGGAACTAGTTAGTGGGATTATAGACCAACGTTCACATCACTGGGGGGGCACCACCTTGCACAATATCCCCATAATATCCCCAGGAATCGTATCAATGCCGCGCACATCTATGCGGAGACCAAACAGACCAACGCCCGCAAGTTGCTGGGACGTGCTGGGACGGGCGGATGGCATCCTGCACTTCTGGCCCTTGAAAAAAGAGATTCTCAGTGAGTGAAAAAGGGCCTATTTATGAAGATAAATAGCCTCATAGAAACCACCAAAGAAGTAACCACTTAATTATAACCATTTATAACCGTTTATACTCATTACAATATACATATATATATATAAAACCGTTTATCATTTATATTAAAACAATTTACACCCATTTAAAACAAAAAACATGTATATTTTCCGGCCTTAACTGCGGTGCACTGAAAAATGGATGGAGGATGAATGACGTCCAAATGGGGGATTTTCTCACCAGCTTCATTTTCCCATATATGTGCAATTACATTTGTATATATGTATATATAATTGGCTTATAACTATATGGTTATTAAATATTTTTAAGTATATATGCATATAACTGGCTTTTAACTATATGGTGATCAAGCAGTTAAATGTCATTCAGCAGTTCGGCAGTTACCATTCGTAGGATGATCCAAATAAGGATTACAGTGGGAGACCAGCAGTTAGAATTTGGAATCAATGGATTTCCTTTTAACCTAAAAAATCTAGGATTATTTTTTTTTACGACAGTTAGAATTTCCCGGAAAAAAACCACCACAGATAGAATATGAACATATTCACAAAGAAAACAAACAAATTTTACCGTACCAACCGACCTTATTGAAAACTTTGGCCAACACAATCTACTGCATGTGTCTATTTCAGCATGTTGGAAAACGGGACAGAACCCATGCAAGAACAAGCATGGTGAAAATTGCATTGCGCAAGTTGTTTGCTGGTATTTTGTGCGGTTGTGTGGTGCTGCTGGTTCTGGTGGTGAAGTGAGTGATGAAAAAAACCATCCAAACACATCCATATTCTAACTGCACTTTTCACCACCAGAATTCACAAAGAAAACAAACAAGTTTTACCGTACCAACCAACCTTATTGAAAACTTTGACCAACATAATCTACTGCATGTGTCTCTTTCAGCATGTTGGAAAACAGGACAGAACCCATGTAAGAACACACATGGTGAAAATTGCATTGCGCAAGTTGGTTGCTGGTATTTTGTGCGGTTGTGTGGTGCTGCTGGTGTTGGTTGCGAAGTAAGTGAGGGAAAAAACCATCCAAACCTATCCATATTCTAACTGCACTTTTCACCACCAGAGTTCAAAAAGAAAACAAACAAGTTTTACCGTAGCAACCGACCTCGGGAAAACTTTGGCCAACATAATCTGCTGTAGGTGTATCTTTCAGCATGTTGGAAAACAGGACAGAACCCATACAAGAACACACATGGTGAAGATTGCATTGCGCAAGTTGTTTGCTGGTATTTTGTGCGGTTGTGTGGTGCTGCTGGTGTTGGTTGCGAAGTGAGTGATGAAAAAAAAATCCAAACCTATCCATATTCTAACTGCACTTTTCACCACCGGAATTCACAAAGAGTACAAACAAGTTTTAACGTATCGACCGACCTCGTGAAAGCCTTGACCAACATCGTCTACTGTACGCGTTTCTGTCACCACGTTCGAAAACAGGACAGGATCCATGCAAGAACAAATATGGTCAAAACTGCATTGCGCAAGTTGTTTGCTGGCATTTTGTGCGGTTGTGTGGTGCTGCTTGTTTGTTGCGAAGTGAGTGAGGGAAAAAAACCATCCAAACCTATCCATATTCTAACTGCACTTTTCACCACAAGAGTTCACAAAGAAAACAAACAAGTTTTAAAGTACCAGCCAACCTCGGGAAAACTTTGGCCAACATAATCTGCTGTATGTGTCTCTTTCAGCATGTTGGAAAACAGGACAGAACCCATGCAAGAACAAGCATGGTGAAAATTGCATTGCGCAAGTTGTTTGCTAGTATTTTGTGCGGTTGTGTGGTGCTGCTTGTTGGTTGCGAAGTGAGTGATGGAAAAAAAAAACATCCAAACCTATCCATATTATAACTGCACTTTTCACCACCAGAATTCACAAAGAAAACAAACAAATTTTACCGTACCAACCGACCTTATTGAAAACTTTGGCCAACACAATCTACTGCATGTGTCTCTTTCAGCATGTTGGAAAACGGGACAGAACCCACGCAAGAACAAACATGGTGAAAATTGCATTGCGCAAGTTGTTTGCTGGCATTTTGTGCGGTTGTGTGGTGCTGCTGGTGTTGGTGGTGAAGTGAGTGATGAAAAAAACAATCCAAACACATCCATATTCGAACTGCATTTTCCACCACCAGAATTCACAAAGAAAACAAACAATTTTTACCGTACCAACCAACCTTATTGAAAACTTTGACCAACATAATCTACTGTATGTGTCTCTTTCAGCATGTTGGAAAACAGGACAGAACCCATGCAAGAACAAACATGGTGAAAATTGCATTGCGCAAGTTGTTTGCTGGTATTTTGTGCGGTTGTGTGGTGCTGCTGGTGTTGGTTGCGAAGTGAGTGAGGAAAAAAAACCATCCAAACCTATCCATATTCTAACTGCACTTTTCACCACCAGAGTTCACAAAGAAAACAAACAAGTTTTACCGTACCAACCGACCTGAAAACTTTGGCCAACATAATCTGCTGCATGTGTCTCTTTCAGCATTTTGGAAAACAGGACAGAACCCATACAAGAACAAGCATGGTGAAAATTGCATTGCGCAAGTTGTTTGCTGGTATTTTGTGCGTTTGTGTGGTGCTGCTGGTGTTGGTGGTGAAGTGAGTTTCAAAAAACAATCCAAACACATCCATATTCGAACTGCATTTCCACCACCAGAATTCACAAAGAAAACAGACAAGTTTTAAAGTACCAGCCAACCTTATTGAAAACTTTGACCAACATAATCTACTGTATGTGTCTCTTTCAGCATGTTGGAAAACAGGACAGAACCCATGCAAGAACACACATGGTGAAGATTGCATTGCGCAAGTTGTTTGCTGGTATTTTGTGCGGTTGTGTGGTGCTGCTGGTGTTGGTTGCGAAGTGAGTGATGAAAAAAAAATCCAAACCTATCCATATTCTAACTGCACTTTTCACCACCGGAATTCACAAAGAGTACAAACAAGTTTTACCGTATCGACCGACCTCGTGAAAGCCTTGACCAACATCGTCTACTGTACGCGTTTCTGTCACCACGTTCGAAAACAGGACAGGATCCATGCAAGAACAAATATGGTCAAAACTGCATTGCGCAAGTTGTTTGCTGGCATTTTGTGCGGTTGTGTGGTGCTGCTTGTTTGTTGCGAAGTGAGTGAGGGAAAAAAAACCATCCAAACCTATCCATATTCTAACTGCACTTTTCACCACAAGAGTTCACAAAGAAAACAAACAAGTTTTAAAGTACCAGCCAACCTCGGGAAAACTTTGGCCAACATAATCTGCTGTATGTGTCTCTTTCAGCATGTTGGAAAACAGGACAGAACCCATGCAAGAACAAGCATGGTGAAAATTGCATTGCGCAAGTTGTTTGCTAGTATTTTGTGCGGTTGTGTGGTGCTGCTTGTTGGTTGCGAAGTGAGTGATGGAAAAAAAACATCCAAACCTATCCATATTATAACTGCACTTTTCACCACCAGAATTCACAAAGAAAACAAACAAATTTTACCGTACCAACCAACCTTATTGAAAACTTTGGCCAACACAATCTACTGCATGTGTCTCTTTCAGCATGTTGGAAAACGGGACAGAACCCACGCAAGAACAAACATGGTGAAAATTGCATGGCGCAAGTTGTTTGCTGGCATTTTGTGCGGTTGTGTGGTGCTGCTGGTGTTGGTGGTGAAGTGAGTGATGAAAAAAACAATCCAAACACATCCATATTCGAACTGCATTTTCCACCACCAGAATTTACAAAGAAAACAAACAAGTTTTACCGTACCAACCAACCTTATTGAAAACTTTGACCAACATAATCTACTGTATGTGTCTCTTTCAGCGTGTTGGAAAACAGGACAGAACCCACGCAAGAACAAACATGGTGAAAATTGCATTGCGCAAGTTGTTTGCTGGTATTTTGTGCGGTTGTGTGGTGCTGCTGGTGTTGGTTGCGAAGTGAGTGAGGGAAAAAACCATCCAAACCTATCCATATTCTAACTGCACTTTTCACCACCAGAGTTCACAAAGAAAACAAACAAGTTTTACCGTACCAACCGACCTCGGGAAAACTTTGGCCAACATAATCTGCTGCATGTGTCTCTTTCAGCATTTTGGAAAACAGGACAGAACCCATACAAGAACAAACATGGTGAAAATTGCATTGCGCAAGTTGTTTGCTGGCATTTTGTGCGTTTGTGTGGTGCTGCTGGTGTTGGTGGTGAAGTGAGTTTCAAAAAACAATCCAAACACATCCATATTCGAACTGCATTTCCACCACCAGAATTCACAGAGAAAACAGACAAGTTTTAAAGTACCAGCCAACCTTATTGAAAACTTTGACCAACATAATCTACTGTACGTGTCTCTTTCAGCATGTTGGAAAACAGGACAGAACCCATGCAAGAACAAACATGGTGAAAATTGCATTGCGCAAGTTGTTTGCTGGTATTTTGTGCGGTTGTGTGGTGCTGCTGGTGTTGGTTGCGAAGTGAGTGATGAAAAAAAAAAATCCAAACACATCCATATTCTAACTGCACTTTTCACCACCGGAATTCACAAAGAGTACAAACAAGTTTTACCGCATCGACCGACCTCGTGAAAGCCTTGACCAACATCGTCTACTGTACGCGTTTCTGTCACCACGTTCGAAAACAGGACAGGATCCATGCAAGAACAAATATGGTCAAAACTGCATTGCGCAAGTTGTTTGCTGGCATTTTGTGCGGTTGTGTGGTGCTGGTGGTGTTGGTTGCGAAGTGAGTGAGGGAAAAAACCATCCAAACCTATCCATATTCTAACTGCACTTTTCACCACAAGAGTTCACAAAGAAAACAAACAAGTTTTAAAGTACCAGCCAACCTCGGGAAAACTTGTATCTGTGAGCTAAAAAAATCATATTCTATCTCCTGGTCTGCTTGAGCAATCTATATGTATGATAAGTGCAAATTATTGCAACTATGTGTTAGTTTATC